CAGCAGCAGTTTGGTTCCTTCTCCCTTTTTCTCCCTCTAACTCTCACAGACACCTGTACAACCCCCTCGAACACACATAGGCTCTGCCACATATCATATTAAGCCCTTATTGTTTGCCGTGAACAGAATTGAGACATCTTCTCACCATTTTCTGTCTTTAAAGGGACAGTCTGACTGAAACTCTCGCCTATGTTGATGTAACCTCTGTCTCTGTCATCTGCCCTTGCTCACAGTTTTCCATGAGCATTTGCAGTGACCCTGGAGACATACTGTACATTTTTTTCCTTACCCTGAAAGAGCAGAAAGCGATAAAGGATAATGGGGATGTCATCTACAACCTTGTCCTGCTTCATTACAATTGATTCAAATGTGCAAAGGCAGAGTGAAAGAGGAGCTGTGATCCTTTTAACCTTTATAGTAGTTTAATTCGTGTTATCACTTTTGCACCTGCCACAGGGATGAAAATCAAAATATCAAATATCTGTTGGGTGGGGAAAAAATACACCATCTAATATTGTAGATGATAAAAGGATAATGCAGAAGCAGAATGGGGCTTTAGTATTTTGGGGCTATCAAATGTTGAATATTCTCCACAAAATTTGGATAAATGTAGCTCATATAAAGTTGTACTTTTTCTATTAATGAGGGGTAAATTTAGTGGATGTTGGGGGTGGATATGCACCAAATTCCTAAAAGTGGTCTTTAAGGTCTGAGATGGATTTTTCACAAAGGTTTTCACCCTGGATTATGACACAAAGGAGAGCCACTTCACTGTGCATAATGGTAATTGTGTTCAATTTATGATCTCTCCAGTCTCCATCTATGTATCGTTCTGAGTAAATAAACCAATAAAAAAATGATTGAAGTGGCCCCGGAACATATTGAAACCAACCCGTTGGCAGAGATGCATTGTTAAGGTTGTCTAAATGATTATGGGAATGAAGATGGAGGTGAGTGAAAGCACCGTGAATGGGAAACTCCATCACCTGCTAAAATTAACCTATAGCTCAGAGTTTTCCTTTAATCTACGTCCTGATGTGCACTTTGTCAATTCTATTAGATCACGCTGTGTGTGGTATGAGCATACACGCATACACACACACACACAGTGATGATGATAATGGTGAGCACCTCCCTAGGTGAGGCCTATTCGGTCACAGTGGGAGCCATCTCAGACCTAATTATGCTTGGTTTGGCGTTTTAACTGTATTGATCAAAACACTGAAACAAACGAGAAATGCTTATCAAGCTGGAAAAGAAGAGCCCTCAGGAGTTGGTGCGCACCACAGGAGTGACTGAGAGTGATGGTATAGGTCTGAGAGTTAGTGAGATATTGGTGGTTATAAAAAATTGCAATTCCGAGCTTTTGAGTTATTAATTACAGCCTCCCCTCCTCCTTTTTTTTGTACCAGGGATTAGAAATACTGCCACACGCAGCCACATATTATTATACGAGTATGCTCACATAGGAAATGCACACGCACACACACTATTATGCACACACTCCCTCGCACAAATTAGCTCATCCATACCAACACTAATCATACAATACCCTGCTCTGATGAGCAAGCTCACGTCGACCTTGGAACTCTCTGGAAAGACAATGCGAGGGGAACCATGCTGCGAATGGGCGGAGGTGGGGGTGGTGGTGGGAGCTGATAAGGTGGAGGGAGGGATGGAGAGAGGGAGACAATAGAGGAGAGGAGGGGAAAAAAGAAAGAGAGAGCGTAAGTAGAGCTGTTCAGTATAGGGCAGGAGGGCAGCGCGCCCTCCCTCCTCTCCATCTCAGCTCATCTCGAATGCAAATGTGGTTTCTATACGGTTCCTTTGTGCTGCTTCTAACTGCTCCAGAGAGAAGCAATTACAACTGCTCCATTCACTCAGAGAGAGAAAGACACGCATGGATAGAGAAGGGTAATTAATAAAGAGATAGGAGGGATGAAGGAGGAGTAAAGGAGGTGATCGCGTTTACCTGTGGAGGATCTTCGTATTGATTGCAGAGGCGGCTTTACTATTGACACGTACAAACACTAAAGCTGACCTGGCGCATAATTACTCCACAAAAGGTCAAAGGTGAGAGGCCATTAACATCTGAAGTGTGTGTAATATGATTTTGCACAGAGCAAATATGTTTGCTGGTGTTATTCTCCCAGACGGTGCTTTAAAGATCGGATTTACTGAATCAAAAGAACTATATCCAGATATGACATCACCCTCCATTCTTCCTTCTTTTGCAGTGCCAGTCTTGTTTCCTATTGCAGTCATAGTGGCCAGGCAGTGCTGCAAGGTATGGTGGGAGTTTTTATGGCAGTCATTTGGGCTGCTAATATGTCATCTCCATTAGCCGACTTTTAACACTCCCAGATAGATGGCCCTGTGACATTTATCTGTGCATGGATCGTATTTTAGCCGGTAAATGGCTGGCGATGTGCAGAGTGTGTGCAAAACGAATGCGTGTGTATGAGAGAGAGAGCGAGAGTGAGAGAGAGATGCATTGACTTTTAATGATGCTGTATGCATTAGCACTTCAGTGGTAATAATTACAAATACAATGCAAGTCATAGCCTTTGACCCCCACAGCACAAAATCAAAGAAAGCAGAGACGAAGGGCGGTCAGATCCAGACCTCACTTCTCAACAGACAGCTGAGAAAATAGAGTAAAATGAAGAGGCAGTGAAAGGAATGAGTGATGGAAAGACAAGATGGGTGCAAAAATAAGCGAAAGGGGCACAGTGAGAGTTACGCGGGCTAATTGCTCTCATAGATTTTGCCATTGTTGGCTTTTCTACAGTCAAGGAGGTGAAGCAATTCCCTGTGGTGGCTTCAGGTGAAAGTCTAAATGAGCTAATAATTTAGTCATAAAATAATACTAATGTTGACCATGCATATTGAAAAGCATTAGAAAGATTTGTACCATAAAATAGCTGTAAATATGATGTACATCACATATAGCAGAACCTTTTCCCCTTAAGCATAAAAGTACCCTCACCCAAACTGCATCAGAAAGCGAAGAACATGTTCTGTGTCATTTTATGTGTTGGCTACAGGAGCCTGGTCACCTGTCCAAAGGCAGTGAAGTTGACTAATGTGACAGAAAATTAACAATTAAAAATATCACACGGGCCCTGAGCCATTGCAACGTGGGCCGTTCACAACTCAGTGGACACCCTAATTGCTTTGAAATACAATTGGGTTTGGGCTTTGTTTGGTGTTTTGGAGGTATGACGCGCATCACTGCACACTGGAAATTGAGTTATAAATTACCAAGCTGAAATAGACATGTACCATGAATACTCAATATCCAAATGCTAGATGTTTTCTCCGAGAAAAAAGAAAGGCAGATGCGCGCATGTACACTCACATAAAATACAAGATGCCACCGCTTGCATTTGCATTTCATTTTGTCAGAAAATTGACCAGCTTTAAACCAAAAAGTGTCTGTGTATGTGTCCCGCTGTATGCTTGTCATGGAGTACGTTGATAAGGTCAACCTTTACAGCAAACAGAGAGATGGAGAGCTCCAATCACAAACCACTGGGACTTTGAAAATGACAGAAGATGAGGAAGGAGAAAATGTTCATCCATCCGCAGCTTTCCCACCAGTGTATTCTCTGTGCGTGTGTTTTCAGACACGCCTCTGTGCCTGTGCGTATGTCTGTGTTTGCTATATGAAAACAGCTCAGTGGCATGTGTGTGAAGTCACTGACAGCTTCATTATGGCTTGTGCGCACAGGGAGACAGCACCATGCAGAAGGAGAGGACAGAGACATAGGACAGGCTAGGCTTAACATTGGGCAGACTGTGCGTGGGTCCAGTGGCTGGCTGGTGGAGAAGGTGGAGGAGGGCAGCTGCTGTCTCCTTTAATGAGCCTTTCCTTCTTTCATCAGCTTTCAATTTACAGAGCTGTCCAACACTCCTGCATAACCAACCACACCTCCACCTGCTCACATTCCTGTAGCACGTATGAAGCTGTCGTTTTCCTTTCAAGTGATTCCCAAGAGCAATCTAATAGTTAAATTAATTTGCCATCTACCTTTAATTAGACAACCTCACCTGGGAACACTGTGACACAAGGTTGAAACGAGACAAACGCTGAGCCTCTCCATGCCCAGCACTGATAATACTTTAGATTTAACATGTATATTCATTTGCAATCACCTGTCTATAGTTTTGGTAAATGGTGGAAACATTATGAAAACGATTTAGGGAGTTCTTAGCAAGTGTACACAGAGTTTGCTAAGGTTTAATAACCCATTTTCCTGTCCTGGGAGGCACAGCTGTGTAACAGTGTATAGCAAGTAAACGTTAAAATTTAGCCAGTGCAACTAGATATTTGACATTTTTCAGATAAGGACAAGAGACAAAAAAATAATAATAATAATTCAAGGCTGTGTGCGCGCAACCAGAGCTATACGAGTAAAGAAATGCTACAGTTTGTACCCAAAATAACAGCATTTCATGCCATGTACACAATTAACTCAGATGCTCCTTCAGATGTTCCTTCATCTCACACCACTATTTACTCAAGCTCTGGGTGGTGTGATGTCTACACTCCCTCTACTGGACTGTTCAAACAGTACAGTCTATTGTATTGAACTCTGGGACAAGTGACAGGTCACAAAATATATATAAAGTATACAGAAACATGAACTTCAGGTTTTCTACTAATTAAAAGAGACAAAGTACAGTATGGAAGATGCAAGCTTTTCTTTAAGAAAAGGCCATTTATTTATGCATTGACAACTCATAAAATGTATTCTCAAATATTTTCCTTAAAAAAAAAAAAGTCTACAATGCAAAACAACTCTTGCCAACCTTAGTACATTTTAGTGCAGTGATTTTAAAAAGTACACATTGGAAATAATTAAGACTGTCAGTTTTTACACATTGTTTTTTAAAAACATGAAATTTTTTTAAGTACATGATACTTAAATGGTACCACTTGCAGAGGACACAAGGCAAGTTAAAATATTTTCAAAAGGGTCACACTGATGTTAACGGAAGTTTAAAAAAAAAAAAAAAAAAAAAGCTAACAATAGCAAGAGTTCAATGAAGTATTGAACACATTAATGCAAAGATGACCTACACATCCACAAGAAAAAGAAGAAGAGTACAGTGTCACTTCTTTACATCAGTACTCAGTAAGTGGGCTGGTAGTCTCAGAAAAAGAACAAAAGGGTTCTGGATCTCCGTCAGACTGAAAGAAGATGGGGCTCCCTCGCCCAGAAGTGTCAACACTTAGTCCCAAACCCGATGATGAAGTGCTATTTGAAAGAAAGACTGAAGGGTCAGTTCAGTTTTAAGCCACGTGTTAACAAGTAAGCACTAAGACATTTTCTATAATAACTTACCTTTCACAGTCAGAGTCACATGAAACCTTTTCTTCTGATCTGATACAACCAGTTCTTGAACACTGAATGGCTTCAGCTACCGTGTACCTGGTCTTACCAACGGCACACCTTGCAATCTCTGTAATGCTAAGGTCTGACTGGAGGAACAGATGGAGCCGACTATCAGATAACAACAAGGGTGCATGAAGAACACTAGAGGAGAAAAGAACATTAAATAGATGAGACCATTTCAATCAAATCCAAATAAAATTTGACAGTATTAAGGAGAACAAATCAGATTTCGATGGGAGTACTCTGTAGGTTGCATGGCCCTCCACGTTCTGTCTCCAGATCTGAGGTGCAATGTGCCAGTGTTAGATGGACTGAAAACGACAGCCCAGAGGTTTTTCCCGTCAGGTGAGCATGGAGGCCACTCAATAGCAACAATTCATTCATCCTCCAGTATTGCCTACATACTCTCGTATACATGAGGCCAGTCATTTTTGTGCACCAGGTGGAACCCAGGACCCACAGCACCAGCCTAGGGTCTGAGAATGGATTCAAAATTGGGGGGGACAAAATGCATTCTTGTTTTGGGGGAGGGG